GGAGCTCTTTTTGCTCATCAAAACAGCAGCGCGATCGACTTGTGATTGGAGTTTGTTTCCGGTCGTCCACGTGTGCATGCTTGCTCCTTTTTGCCGCGTGCCGACAAGATGTCACCGCCACAGCCTGTGGACTGCAAGACTATTGAGGAAGCGCAAGCGGAACTGTCAGAGTATCGCGTGTGCGCACACACACACACACACACACACACACACACACACACACACGATGCCAGGCAACACTGTGTCTCACCTGACCTGGGTTTAAGACCTCCTCCCCCCGTATTGATTGTCAATACTACCCCCGGGCTCATTAGAAACTGACTTGATTAACGCTTTAAGTCGTTTTTAATGAGAAAGTCCCCCCCCCACGAGGTAGAGATGGATATATTGATAATGAGGAGGAGCAGCTCGAGCGGATTCGTGGCACTATAGACAAACAAACATTTGCACCCATGGACAATTAATGAATGAACCCCGATTTTTAGGATATTTTTTTTCATCCTACTTGTAAGTCAACTTTTCTCAATGAATGTTTTTGTGTTGATTCCAAATCAGTCCTCATTTTTTTTCTCTCTCGTACATCAGTTTTTCATCATCATCATCATCCTCAACATGAACATAACGATAATAATAATCCAAATATCATGACAATGATCCATAGTAATGTTGATGAAATAAAGCTTCGGTTCAGCGTTTTGCGAAAGGTTTCACAGGTCCAACTTAAAAACAATAACAAGAAAATATCTGAAAAGCCTGATCTGCCCCCAAAAAAATAGATTGTATATCCAGATTGCATTGCTGAATTGTGTATTCGATCTGATGTGTTCCTCATGATGTGTCCAGGCGCTGCAACATTTCCGTATCTGCATGTTCCATCCATTCATTCAGAGGAGGAGAAAGGGAAAAAAAAAAAAAAAGGAAGCCCAAACGAAGCCACGTGCGCACACGTCACAATCCACACCAGCGCGGCCCCTCCTGCGTCACGTGACGCCAGCGCCGGCTGATGCTGCGAGCAGCCAGCGGACGCACCGGAGAGAGTGAGCGTCAGCCTGCCTGCGAGCCAAGCGCCCCGACACGTTTCTTTTTCCGTACTCCCGCTCGGTGAGTATTTGATCTTGCGTTTTATTCTCTTGGTTTTTGTTTTGGGTTTTTTTTTTTTTTTCTTGTTTTGTTGTTGGTGTCCGGGCCACGGCTGTCGTGCGCATGCAATGCTTTCAGTTCATCCCTCACCACGTCCACGCAGGACACGTACAGTACGTGCTCGCGGAATGCTTTTGGATCCGCTTGTCGATTTTAGCAGCATTCCCCCTTTTGCTCCGTCTCCTGCCCACGGTCCGTACGATGGCTCCTTCGGCGCTGATTTTGGAGCAATTTGACTCTGATTTTTTTTTTCTTTTTCTTTTTTTTTTGGGATTGTTTTTATTTTTTGCAGCATTGGTGATGGGAGTGAAAAACGCTTTTGATTTTGGAGGATTTTCATGATTTTCTCAGCAGGTGACAATGGAACTTGGAAGCGAGTTCTTCATGCGGACGCCAGGTGAACTTTTGTTGCATGATTGGACATTTTAATCAGCTTTTCTAAATGGGGACATATGGAAACAATAGTTCCAATGTTATTTATTCATTTATTTATTTTGGGAAAACACAAATATTACAAAAAGTATGACACGTTTCTTTGAGAAACATCTTTAAAAAATGTAAAAATACAGCAAAGCATGACAACATCAAGATCTTGAAATACTACAAAATGTTACATTAGGAAATAGAAAATATTAGATTCGGAAATAATGCAAATATTAGATAAAGTAGATCAAAATGTACAATGTATGAGACTTTCACGATATCAGCCATCTTTCAGACAATTAAAAAATAGAGATTTTTATTTACTTTTTTTCCCCCTTTGACTTGCAAGCATAAACTGGAGATACGTTTTTGTGATGTTGTTAATTACACAATTTCAATGGGGGATGATGAGTGATATATATATATATATATATATATATATATATATATAGCCTCCTTCAGGCAACATTAAGACATTCACTGCGCTGGAGCTTTTTCAACTGCAATCCAGCCATTTCAAACACATTTGTCAACAGTTAGGAGTGGAGTTTTTTCATCTGTGCTGTATGTTGCACATAGAGCACATTTGACAATAAAAGTTGACTTGAACTTGAAGTCTTGTCCAGTTTGTCTGAGAAATTCAGGTTGTTAAAACACTGTAATGACGAACAGATCCCTGTAGATGGCGGTGTTGTATCACTTTGAGATCAGCACAGCTTTTGAGTAAAGGATTATGGGGTTATTCTCAATTTGTCATGTCAATTATGAAGGAGAAAACATGTTCGGAATCGAACAAGTTTAGAAGCCCCACCCTTGAACAGAGCATGTATACACAGTACATTACATGAAATATATGTGCTGAGTATGTGTCACGGTAGGTGATTGAAAGTATGTGTCGTGATCGTGACACAAGGTGACGCCATTCATGGACTGTATGGCAAACAGCATGTAAAAAAAAACAAATGTTCTACTCGAGCCATGGCGCAAACCAGTGTCGCTTAATGCACTTTTCATACGTGTGTCTGTAAATAAATGATTTTGCCACAAGGTCTTTTTTTCACAAAAACAAGAAATACTGCTGTCTATCATTTTTTTATTTATATTTTTGGGTCATTTTTAGCAAAATACGTGTTTTCTCTGCCTTTTGCTCAGAAACTTCTGTTTTTGGTTAAACTAACCCATGTTCTACTGCTGATTAAAGGTGAACGGAAAATTCTAGAAACTTCAATTTCGTGGTGAAAGAAGAGAGTCTTTTTATTTTTCAATATCCTGTTGGTCTAAAAGGATCGGTCAAAATCAGATGTGTCAATTCAATAAAGGATGGCTTGAGCCACAGCTGCTTCTCCTCATAGGGCAGGTAAACGCACTCTGGGAAGCTGGTTTGAGTAGCTGCACCTGTCATTAAAGCAAAACTGTGGCAAGGTCTTTTACTTTCTGGACCTGGATCTGACACCTCTGGTCAAAAGGCTCTAAAAGCGAAAGCAAAAGGGGGAGTGTGCTTTGAAAAAAAAGTGAATGAGAAAAGAACTTTTCATAGAGTTCATAAAATCTTCTATCATCTATTGTCTTGTTAACACCTGTGAACCTTTCAAACAAGTGCAGACGAGGGAACATGTTAACAATGCCTTGTAAAATGTGTCTTTCATAATTGAAAGTTAAAAAGGGTTCAAAAAAAAAAAAGACTGAAACTCTTTCCCCCAATATACCATTTGAACAACCATGTTTTCCATTTTACGTTTTCCCTGATAAAAATCTGCCGGTTGAGTGACCAATGAAAAGAAAACATATTGTACATAATTAGTCGCGTTTCAGTTGACGTGTCTCTGGGGTGAACTCACTCACAGGCGAAACCATCCTCTGTGCTTTCAGTCATCACAGTACAGGGACAATAATTATAGCTACGACCATCCGTTTCCCATGACGCTGAGCTTGAATGAGGGAGGACTGGATGTTGAAGTTGGTGGCTGTGCAGCGCAGTCCATCACAAGTGGTGCAAGTGGGCATACGCTGGCAAAATAGACAGTGAGTGGCAGAGAGCGAGGACCAAGCCGACAACTCCGTGTCTTGCCTGAGCACTGTCACCACATCACACTGAGCGCTGCCACTGCAAGTAAGGGTAAGGTGCACATTTTTACTCTGTTACCTACAAATTTTACTTTATTTAATCAGTTTTCATTGATTTTGCAAAGTCAATGTAGATTTGAAGACTGTTCTTCGTTTCAGTTTACAGTATGTTATAATTTTACATTTTATTGAATGACTGCAAATTAACATTCCACTCTATTGAATACTTTTGCTTAGTAATTAGGCTACTCTGAAATGTCTTATAGTCTAATTTGACTCCAATCGAAAATAGAACAAACGTTCTGGCTGATCTCTCATTTTCTTGAAATAATGGTACACATCTGACAAATTCTGCCAGTGAACTGACAGCGCAACTGTAGAGAGGTGGACAACCATTCATATTCACATTCAGAAGATGCTGACTCTTCAGCAAATCAAAACATGCATGTTTTTGGGCTGTAGGAGGAAGGTAGAGTCGTGCTCAGAAGTAAACGGCAAAAGCACAGGAAGGGTATGCACGCTCCCCACAGAAAACCCTTCGATTCAAACCCATTCCTTTATGCAATTGGGCAGGAAAGCAAAGAAATTGAATTTATAAGTAAATATTTATTAACCATTCAACGTAAAATTCAATGTTTTGTAAATCTGACACAGCACAGAGAGAGTTTTGTTAACAACACTGGCCAAATTTGATTGATTAAAACAATCACCAAGACTGAAAAATAAGGCTTCAAAATAGTAAAAATAAATAAATAAGTAATAACCAAAAAACAAATATCTAATGCCATGGCCGTATCATCATGTGTGTGTCTACCTGACATGGTTGAGCCAGCAAAATATATTCCCTTCAAGCCACTGGTGACTTGAACATATGCCACGGGCTGTCACTTGGCTTTCCAGCTAACAGGCTCTGGCCCATTTTTGCATAGTTTACACACACACACACACACACACACACACACACACGCACACTACATTCGTACGTCTGTATACTTTCGTCACTTGTCTCACTTTGCGACATTTAAACTGATCGAAATCGTTTACCTCAACAACGTACTGCTGATCTTAGCGTACCTTTTACAGCCTTTGTTTCGTATACAATGACACGTGCAGATGTCTATGATTCACGGAGATTATCTAGATTGAAGATTTTCTTTCGAGTTAAAGACGACTCAACGAATGGGTATGAGTGCATTGCACATTGAGCTGTCATCAGGCCAACAGTATTAAGCAAGTATATGTTGCAAGAAATCTGTGAAGGTATACTCACATTTTAGTCAAACTAACCAAAATGAGTTATGCAAACATTTGGGGTCAAATTGGACAGTGTTTCAAAGATGGCCTGATCCAGGTGGCGGTGAAAGCGCAACTTTAGCCAACTTTCTGAGGTGGTCAGGTGTGACAGCCACAAGTGACAGCCGGTATCCTGTCCTGCCCTCGTCCTGTGCAGTCGAGGAGCTGTCCTAGCGATCTGCGAGTTGAAGGCGCCCTAACATGTGTTAGCCATTTGCAGTTGCGTTTGCTAAAGGATTTACATCTGTTTTCTGATCTTTGAACCCCCTCCCCTCTCTTTTCTTTCCGTCTCTTGTTTCCCGTAAGGGTGGATGCTGTCAGGCGTGTTTTTGTTGCGAACGTTACAACTGGAATGCTCATATGGTTGTTGCGCTCGAAGGAATTTCACTCTGAATGAAATACACTGGTTTGCCGTTCTTGATGGGCCTACATGTCCATTAGTGGTTCTGGGTCATCTCTCGGGATGTATCATTACCGAGTTGGCAGTGTGTGTTTTGACCTAGAAGAAGCTAGGTATTTGGATAAGGATTTGGGTGTGTGTCTATGAGGGTTGACTGCATGTTTGTGTGTGTGTGTGTATTTGATGGTATTACTTGAAAACAGTCCTGCCGGTCTGTCTGTGGGTGAAAAGTGTGTGCGTCAGCAGAATGTGCTGATCCTCAAGTCTTACACTACTTGAGAGATTGTTGAGTTTTGTACTCGGGCCTTGTTGTTGGTGCATTTCAAAGAATGCCTTGTAGTACTTCGAAAGTGACGTCGTGAGCTGCTTTGAAGAATGACCCTTCAGGACTTCACCTTAAAGGAGACATTTTACGTAGTCTTCTCACAATTTAAACCATTTCTCCGGTGTCTTAGGCTACATTCACACTGCAGGGCGCCATGCCCAATTCAGATTTTTTGTTTGATTCAACCTTCCTATGTACTCTTCCACGCTGCAAAAACAAATGCAACTTCTAATGTGAACGGAACACCCCCGACATAGGAATGACGCGGGAGGAGGTAGAAATATTTTGGGGAATCAATGTTCTTCGATCTCCTCATTTCCCAACATTTCAAGGAGATATCGACTGAAGATAACATCACGTCGTTGCAGCGTGTAAGGAATGAACTGTCTGCGTGGCAGAATCACTGCTATCACCACAAATGTCCACTTAATGCCTCATTTACAAGTGATCTTAAAT